TGGCGAGCTTCGAGAGTTTTATGCTCGGGAACAAAAAGTATTACTGTCATGGGGTGTGTCAACACACTCTCTTTGTGTGTCGGATTTTCGAAGGGAAAGCAGTTAAAAGTAAGGGACGTAGATGTACTACCGGTATGTCATAATTTTTCCATGATCATCGGGGCGGATAACCATGCAGTAATTCCTTCAAGCAACCCGCTAAATTGGCACGTCAGAGTTAGCTTCGATGCGTTCAGAACTATCTGAATTCAGCAGATACCATTGTTAAGAAATTTAATAAAGATAGTTCAAAATCGAAAAGTGCGGGACCCTTATCAACACGAGTGGAATGTGAGGCTTGCATCACGGAACAACGCCGGTGCAAGATGTCGGGGAGCTCGAGGTGTGTGGGCCGCGAGACGAGGTTTATCACGATAGTCTGCTCCAAATCACCGATGGCATTTAATTAGGTCTTGCTGGAGGCCGTACGAGCCTAAAAAGCAGCAGGTTATCGCTCGGAGGACTTAATAAAGCACTGTCGCCTCAACTGGATTGACTGGCGCTGCACATCCATGCAGGCATAGAAGACAGTAGCCGTCACGCCTTCTCGTCTGATATGCGACATGGAAATGTACAGGGAATTATTAATGATTGGTAACGCACAAAATATTTTTTGTGAATATTAAAAAGAAACGGAGAGAAATAACTGTGATTTCTTCTATGCCACCTACCACTGAGTGTAAGATGAATTTAAGCCACCTTTACATCAGTGACACTATTGCCATTTGAATTGACTTCTGCCTGGCCTTTATCCCTACGCCTCCGATATAAATTTTGTACTAGTGACTTTGACTATGAACATGAATCGCATTTCATTATATGTTAGGTGGCGGAATATCAATACTGAACCCATTGTGTATCCGTATTATCGATGCGGCGGCTAGGCTGGCCGATACGATGCCTGCGCCGGGCGGCCGCTTTGTTCTTATGAAATGAATTGCAGAGCGCGACGTCGGCGCGACAATACACCTGACACCAACAGCTGCTCCTCTACCGGCGGCGCGCTGACAAAAACTCTACCGTGTATTGTTTTTGCTTCGTGATGAATATATTGATATATACTGGCCGCAAATATTAAACTAGTCGCTACTACTCACAACTGATGTAAACATATCACATAAAAATTAGCTAGGAAGTTTACGGCCTGCAAACAATAACATTGTCACTATGATATTTCGTGGAAGACTGAAATTGTTGATTACGAAGTTAGTTGCTTATCATCGCTGAAACTTCCTCCTACTCGACAGTACGACGACACGGCACTCGAGTGCTCGCGAAAGTTGCACTCGTTTTATTATCTGATCGTTTTCGAACTTACTTTTCACACTCCTCCATTTGGAATTAACTATAAATGGCTTCTAATATGGAATTAACTCTAATTGCTTCTAATAAAATTAATTGGTTAGGTTAATTATTCAATTTCATGATGGTGTTTTTCCCACAATTTTAGTAGCAGCTCTGCGAAGAATAAAATTGTCAATGTTTGTTATGTAGCGCCATTCATTTTGAGCGTATCTTTGCTTGTGACTCAGATATCAGTAAAAGGCATGTGACTGAAAGGCATGTGACTCAGATATCAGTAAAAGAATGGAAGCCTTACTGTATATGACAGCGCAGGTGTCCCATGACTGCAGGGAAGGAACGCATTACAAGTTCTTATCTAAACGAGTTCCTGCAAGGACACTACGTAGCTCCTGGGAATACACAGCTGCTGGGTTACTAACTTTTTTACTGACATGCTTTCAGATCTTCTGATCAAGCAGACTGACAATATTCAGATCTTCTCCACGCAATGTAAAAAACTTTTTTCATATTCATTAGAGATAAAGACAAATTTTGCTTGGCGAGTATTTTTTGTAATGGTGGAAGGTGTGATAATTGAAAATGTTAATGCTTTTAAACTAATTCAAACACTTGCCTGTACATCCAATGATGACATGCCGTGCGTGAAATTACAAAGCAGCGTATTTGTATTACCTGCTACATGGATGCGCATTGCACAGGCATCGTGTACCTAATCTCGCGCGCGAGGGCGGAGGCGTTCATGCAATGGCCCAGTAATCTGAACCGTGTGCCTGCCCGCCATCTAGCAAGAATCATCGTGTGTGCACATTTATGTGTGTGCCTCTGTGTGCACATATGTGTGTGGTGGATGTTGTTTTCCATTTAAGTTTCGGCAATTCTTTACTATACTTTTCGGTTATATTTAGCAGACTGATCTGACTAAATGACTTCATTTGATACATTAGTTACTTGGAACGCATGTTCCAAGTAAGGCCAGGGCAGGTTATGCGCATGAAAAGGAAAGGTTTTCCATAGAAAATAGCATTAGAAAATTGTAATTGTATAATGTCCGTTATATTTATGGTTGGAAGATGTCTTAAGAGATTTGTATCTAAATATTCCACGGACTCTTAGAGTTCTGACGGCGCCATTGCATTTGGCAAACATTTTTGTTCAAGTTGAATACCATATAACACTGCATATCGGCTCTGCTTTTAACTGTCATAACTCCTAACGTTCGCCGTTGTTCAGTTCATTAAACTGAAACAGGTAGCAGTTATTGCATATCTTATTCGAAATTTGCGGGTATTCATGACTCTGCAATACTCCGTTATTCCAGACAAATAAAAAATCAAATAGCGATTTTTGAAAGCTCACACTTGATTTTACGAGACTCAAAAATTCTCACACAAATTCATTGGTCGGCCAAAAATCACCTTGCTTTTTGTCAGGTAAAACACACGTTTTCAATGTGGCAAAAGATGACGAAGTCCTTATTGCTGTACGAAACACGTCCTCAGCAAATATAATACTTAGCGGACGTCTGAAGCTCACATAGTTCTGAAAAACCACGCATTTAATTCAGTGTTATGGAGCAGAGGCTACCAAACTCATTCACTTCACATCCAGAACATTTAAGATATTTTCATCACTCCACTATAGCCACGAAAAATGGATGAATTACCTTCTAGGGTTAATTTACCGAATTAATTTTGGAAAGAAGGGAATAGCGTCTTGCAGAAAGTCATCCCAGAAGGCATATGCAAAAAAAAAAAATAAACTTCCAAAGCCCACATATGTATGTACCACGAGGACAACAAACGTTTAGATACTATGGTTAAATTAAATTCGTTTGCAGCTAATATCATTCCAAGAAAACATTTCTCATTCACAATATCATTCAATTAAAACATGTGGTACTGAAATTGCTCCGAAACCAAGATTGAGTTTCCAAGGAAACGCACCAGCGTATTGCAGTGCAAATGAATGGCGAGAGCAGCCATTAGCAAGACACGCGATATGCGGCCCTGCATCACACGCCGCCCGGGCTCAATGAACGGCAGAGCTGGAGGAGACCATTACAGCGCCTAGTGCCTTGCTATGCTGGAGTGCGTTTATACAGACCGCTCTGCATTGCAGGCTTCCTCCTTAACATGGCATGTGGAGCAGCTAATGCTGGGCAGGCTTTCTTCGCAGCATGGCATGTGAAGCAGCTAATGCTGAACAGGTTCACTTCGTAGAACGGCAGTTGAAGCTGCTTATTAAGTTCGGGTTAACTTAATCGGTTTCATAATTTCTAGGCTCTACTGAAATGGTTTACCTTGAGCCATATAAAACGTTTCAATTGGCCGGTGCCGTTCATAGGCAGCCTTACCGCTGATGCCATGCGCGGCACTGCGTGTACTTGAGAGGATTACAGTCAATTGAGTCAAGAGCGCATTTATGCTTGACTGTTAGAAATTCTTCTAGTTGTTTGTTGTGTATTTGAAACTCACAAATATTGCTGTGAAATAAACTCAATTATTCATAAATTTTAAAAACCCGAATCATATGAATTCGATTGCTTCTAATTTCAGCTTAATTTTTCTGTAATCATTTTGAGAAGTATCTTGTTTGAACCTAAAGAAATTATAAGCATGGAATTTCCGTAATCTTTTAAATTGGATGTTCTTATGAGCTGACGAAATGCAGAGGGAAGCCACGCCAGTCGAGCCGATGAGCGGCTCGATTTAGTTGTGTAGATCAAATAGAGATCCTTGAATCACCATAATGAGGGAAGGCGCTCCCGCCTGATGACTCCATCACTCAGGTTCGAAGGACAGATATTACTGTTTACATGCATTGCTCAGGGCACATACTCTGAAAACTCGCTAATAGAACGTACTTATTTACGCCTTATTTTCTGGTCTATGATTGGTGGATTTTGCTTGAAAGGCCGTCAACGAATGGCTGATTAACTTACGATCTCTTAACTTTTTTTGAAAGTATGGGCCCTGGTGATAATTGACTCTCTTTATTAGTCAGTCAATTAACGCTCGCTTCAGATATTCCTGATTTCATTAATTCTTGCGTTGTAACTGAGTGATGGGCTCAACATATCACTACACTTTCATACTTTTGTTCATTTTTCGAAATTCACGAATATCAGCACTAGTCGAATACTTCTTATTCCTCAAGACAAGAAGTTGTTGATCACGTTTATACCTAGTGGTTACTAATTGAACAATAATATATTTCTTGAGATACATTGAAGTATTTGTACAGCTAAATCTGACTAAATATCATGCTATGCAAGACACTCGACTTGCAACCGGTGCAAACCTGGCCATTTGAATTTCGAATAATTCTATGTATTGATTTTTCATGAAAAAGTATGGAGGTACCTTTGCTCACCGAGACCCTCTCTATCACTGAGGTATATATACGAAAATGGGTATGTACTTGAATTTAAAACTCAACAACTAACTATAATGGTCGTCAATGAGTTAATCTCTTACCTCGCTCAAATTGCGAGTTGCTAACCCTGTGTCTTAGCACGGTTTAATACCTTAAAACTAATGCCCTTTGTCTCGTATGCCATAATAGTTGCTAATACTATTCATAATTGAAGGCCTGGCGACTTACCGTCTGCAGACAAAGGGTTAACTGTTGTGGCAGTGATGACGTGTGGCGTGCAGGACCAGCGCTTGGAGCTGGCGGCTGTGCAGGAGGAGCTGTGGCGCTGTCATCTCCACAACGCAGCACCCGGCCCCCAGCCTCCTACATGGCGGGGCCAGACATTTCAGCGAGAACTTCTTCAGCAGACATCAATAGGAAAACAACAAACTTATAGTGTAAACAATGTAGGGGAAAAAAAGCAACATCTCGAAAATGATCAGCGTGGATCTAGAAATGAAGAACAATATTTAGAAGAAGAGAATGAAATTTTAAAGCAGCACCAAGGAGAACAGATAAATCCACCAAGAGAAAGAAATATCGTGTCTATAGAGCCTCAAATAGTGTTGCCGACAAACTTGAATGACAATCAACAGGTAGGAAATAGGAAGTTTCAGCAGCAGCAGTTGAAGCAAGATCTCAATCAAAATTTACATCACCTACAGCTACCTCACCGGAAACAGCAACAACAGCCACAAGAACAGAGGCAGTATGAACATCTTATGACGATAGTAAGCTCAGCCGAGCAGCTGAGTCACGAAGATCTCAAAGATTTTTTATCCGTCGACGAAGGCCCGTCAAAATTTAGCCTCTTCCGGAACAGTGATCTCAATGGCGGGTCCATTGGGAATGCGCATGTCACTGAGAATGATCCTCGCGATTTTAATGTAATCTCCGCTACGAATGATATTTTAGAAGCATTGGTGGAACCTACCGGTAAACAGAATAAGAACTTAGATCGTTTTACTTCACCGAAAATAATTGACAACTCAGATGACCTGCCTGAAAGTTTTCGTAGGAGCAGAGGAGAATACTCTACTCTTGATTCTAGCGAGAAAACGGCCAGTTATCTGAATAATTTTAATATTACAAGAATAATACAAGGAGGAGTGCTTAAAAATGGGTTTCATCATTTTGCTGGTAATGATGAATATTCGAAATTAGCAACCGATGAAAATGAGACAAACCGAAGACAGTCGGTTCCTGGATCACTCACAGCTCAGAAACATGACAAGCATAATCTGGGATCTGCTACTACAGAGCCTAAGAGTATTTCAGCATCTGTCTACGGCCGACTAAAGAGATCAATGGCCCGATCTTCCGAAGAATCTGGACATGATGTCCTCAGAATCCGTAAGCGCGACACGAGTCCACAGTTTTTAACGGTCCGCGGTGTCCAATCCACGGCCACGACGGTCAGAGTTCCGGCCGTTGAAGCCTCGTCGCTCACCGACTCGACTAACTCCATAGAAGCCATTACTACAACTGACGTGAGGAGAAAATCGTCTAAATTTTACCGGAGTTTACTCAACAAACGACTTAATGATCCTTTGTTCAACGCTTCGACACCGCTACCTCAGTCATCCCTCAATGAGGTACGTTCTTTGTGGTGCTCGCACTGCTTCTTTACGTCGCATGGTGTGGCTCAGTATTGACTGATCAAGTGGACTCGATTGCTACGCTATTATGTACTATCACATATATGTTATAGTAGCTTCCTAATGACGTCTAATCATGCGGCCAAAGATAACGCGTTTTATAACCGTCTCAAAAAGTGAATAACGTTTATAATTGCATTTCGCAATTTATTTATATATTCTGTTATACTATATCATTATTGCCGAGGAATCTGATGAAAATTCCTGCAATAAGCAATAAAGAAAATAAATTATTTTCACATTACTTAAACATACTCGATAATTTTGTATAAAATTTGGTCGTCCCCAGGATTACGTGAAGTTGCTTGAGAAGCAACTTCGAGATCTGCGTTCTCGCGTCAAGAGTTGCCGCTCATGCTTGTCTCGTAAGGAGCGTCGGACTGCCCTGTGCGGTGGAGGGTCTGGCTGGCGGGAGCACAGAAGACAAGAGAAAATCATGCGTCGACGTCTAAAGCATCGCCGTAGAATAGAATATTCTATCCCTGACGACGAGGATCATGACGCTGTTGGCGCCAAGGAGGGATGCGACGACCGCGGGAAGAGCTTAGAGGCGGCAGATGCAACCCGCGTGGCGTCGCCTGAAGTGAACACGGAACACGCCGCTCCTCGGCCCAACATGTGAGTGACTAATGAAAGTTTATGATTTACAGGAAGGTAGTTTGATGGGCTTATTTATGTCTTTTGGGCCTGTCTTGTATTTGGTGGTGATTTATAAGGCTTTGTAGCATTCTATTTCAGGTTAGAAAATTTGATTTTGTTGCTGATAAATTATATGCTCTTACATCATGTGATTTGAGCTACAAAATGTGATGAATTTAATGATTTGTTATGCAAGAGATTTAAGCAAATGAACCTATCACTAACGATTCGCATTCAGGGGATGAATTCTCAGCTTATTCTCAGCCTGCATGTTCCAGTGAATAAAACTCATATTTGCCAGGCAATAAGTGCAATTTTCTGAATGGTTTATTAAATTTTGGGTGCGTTGTCTTTCAATTTTTAATCTGTGGTTATTTTAGTTTATCTATATATTTTTGTGGTCTGCCAGGCCCACGCTAGTTGTGTACAGCGTACATTGTACACCACTTTACATGTCATGAAGTCAGTTAGTTCTTTTTGCCATTAACTCGGTCTAGAGAAGGATTTTATACTCAATTGCGGATAAATGAATGTACATCTATTGCTGTCTGCGCGTTGATATCAAGTTTAGAGAGTATCCCAACATCGAGTACATTTAAGTACTTATGTCGATAGCAACAGCTGAGATTGCTATCATTATTATTTGAAGTTTACCATTGTTAAGGCAGGGAGATTTAGATTGCTCACGTGTTTTTTCTAAAAATGGCAACATAATGCTGAGCATCCCTGGTGAGCCGGTTTACTGATTATAGTACTGGCGAGAAGAATACATCTTTTTCAAAATCGCCCACATTACATAATTGTTTATTGTTACCATTTTGTTAAACCTGTGCCTTCTAAGATTTTCCTGGAGTATTTTTTTCTTTTGAGATTTTTTATTAAGTTTTCTAAAGGTTAGGATATTTTTGATCATATTCTTATTCCCAGTTAAGTTTATTTTGTTCATCAGCACACCCCACCAAGCGAGGGAGAGCCGTCGGATGAGCACAGATTTCCGACGAGGCTTCAATCAGAAGATCGTGCGGATGGACGAGGCTTTACAGCAGTTCTCCGAGACTCAATCCGCCTTCTGCAAGGTAGGTGAAGCCTGTGGATACAGACGTCAACTCAAATCCCAATCCACTTTCTGCAAGGTAGATAGCCTAAGGCAGCAACTGTAACCCTGAGTTATAATCCGTTTTTGGCAAGGTAGGTTTAGCCTAAAGGAACCATCGCCACCCTGAGTCTCAATCCAATTTTTGCCAGGTGAGTGTTATTTAAGGGAATTATTGTGACTCCGATTCCCAATCCGCTGTTTTTTAAGGAGCGGTAGGTGTAACCCAAGGGAACGATCCGTCACCCCGAGTCATCTACCTTCTTCACGGTATAGGTGTAGCCCATAGCAACAACCAAAACCCCGGACAAGGGCCTGTCTACAGCACGAAAGGTGTAGTACCTTATTGGAATTGCTGGCACCCAGATGACAAGTGTTGTTCCTCGAGGGGCCCTGCTGTATACCAGAAATTTAACTCCTAAGTATATATAAATGTATTATATATAAGCCATGGAGCTCACGCCCAGCCTCAGTATGCTACAACTTCACTCAGCCACCGAACTGGAAGCTGCAGAATATCTTGGAACACCGTAATCCAGACCAGTGACACAGTGCTCGAAGATAAAATCGCTGTAGGACTTCAGCCATTACTCAAGCACGCTCGTTCATAAGCAATTCTGCATCTAGCCTCACCTACTCCAGCCTAACCTCTTCTGACGCAGCCTATTCACGCTGTGCCGGCTCACAACCTTCTTGCAAGCAACGATGTGCTCTACCAGCTCATTCGGAAAGCCTCTCTAACTTTCTGCAGCCAATGAGGTTAGGTCAGTTCTGCTCAGCTTTGCTTTGGGTGGAGTAATGTTGTAACTTGTGTAGGCTCCGCCAGAAGAGGTTATGCCAGATGAGGTTACGCCAGATGCAGTTTGGCCATGCTCACCTCTAGCATGTTTAAGTGGTAGCGGTTGACATCTGGCATTATGGTTTTGAGCACTTGACTTCATAGGCTGCTATGCTCTCTGGTGTTCTTACCCACGTTGAAGAATATAAACTCATGTGTGAAGTTGTGCAAAGCAGGCTTCTGGCATGTGTCGTCCCCCCGGGGGCACAGGAAACAACATTTGAACTATGTCGCCCACACACGGTGTAATGAAAATATTGCACAAGCTTAAATAAACAATGCTTTGAGATATTTCTTTGGTAAAATAGATCGAGGCGTTGAATTAAGACATTGGCTTGCAGCATGAAGTAAACAGATCATTACATTAGATAACAGAATTAGACACATATTTCGTTCAGCTTGGCGACGAAGGCCACAAGGATATGCCACAAATGCGATCAATCATATCGTAAAATCTGGGTAAGGAATTACTCCGAGCAATCTGATCGTAAAATGTTCTCAAGTAATCATCAGATCAGCCGCATGCCAAGTTATTACATGAAATAATTTGGTCAGAAAATCTCATTTTAAACGCAATTTTTCATTTTACTCCTAAACTGACGCACTAAAGTCACCAGACGCACAATATAGTAGGTATTTATGAACAAAGCTTAGCTTGTTGGGACTGCCGAAGCTGCAGCGATTTGGTGAGACTTGAAAGAAAGTATACTACTTGATTTGTTATTTATAAGTTATTGGTTATATATGAGTTATTTGTTTTATTTAGTTTATTTTCTTGGTATATTTCGCACAATGAGTTCGTATCGATTTTCCAAAATCAATAAATAGCATCGAGAAAACTTTACACTTATTTTTATTGTCCTGCGTGAATTCAAGCACGGGAATAAATATAATACTTTACATAATAGAATCTCTAGAATAAAGGGGCCGCAAAACGAAGGCATGCTTGTATTTGGTATGCTGGTCGCAGGAGCTGCGCGACAACCTCGGGGCTCGGCTGGAGAAGCGCGGGCTGGAGCTGGGGGCGCTGTCGGAGCAGGTGGCCGCCCTCGTGCGGGTGTCCACCAAGCAGGTCGCCATGCTCGAGATGCTCACCTCGGACCAGGTCTGTCACTTGTCTCTTATGCAATATTAGCAGGTACTGTCTCTGCATTCCAATTCATTCCATAAGAGCAGGGGTTTCACTTAGTCTACATTAACAATTCTTATTGTTTTATAATTTACGTAATTCTGACTAGAAAATTTCGATTAGGGTTTTCACTTATTCTACACTAAAAATTATTCTTTCCTAATTTACTTAATTTTGACTAGAAAATCTTTATGATCTGCCACCATAGTTTTCAAATCCTATTGCCAGCTGCCGTAATAATACCAACGTACAATTTACTGATGGCATATCCTTACAAAACTTCACAAAAATTCTAATGTGGCGTTTTCAACTCACATTTCAGGTTATATTTACTACATCATCTCCAAATGGAGTACCATAATTAATTTTCCCCGGCGGAAATGTAATGCGCCGCAGCTGAATGTTTACTGGAAACGTGCCGTAAAAATCTTGCATAAGAACAGACTTGCAGTCCAGACTGTTTGATATGCATGAGCCTGGCGCTAATATAGCACGTGGCTTGATTTTATGCGCAGCACTCAATGTTACTTTGATTATCCCTAGCGTCCATGGATATATTTGTCTTACGATTGTATTGAGTTTAATACACTCTACTTTATATTATTAATTAACGACGTTGTTTATTACGTACCAGGTAACTTTGGGAAGTACCAGAGAACATTAGACTACGTAACAGATAAAATTGTGTTTTTTTTCCAAAGTCTAGGTTGATTTTTTATAATTTCTGCTTGTGGTTTGAAAAAATATAACTTATTGTATTTGGTTTAATCATATTATGAACGTCTGCTGAAACTTTAATTAACCTCTTGGTTCCTTTGCGGTCTGATATTAACGAAACTACTATTTGTATGCTCTTCATTTGTAATTCATTAGATTTAATCGTTAATCGAATGGATTTTAGTGTCCAAAATTGTCCTTTCACCTTGCTATCATCGACTAAAATTGGCTTCTAACTTGCATGAAACTGGCATATATAAGAGAATTTTTTTATGAATTCTGAATTCATCTCATTTTTGAAAGAATTTGCAGGCGGGCTTTGCTTTTTCCGTTGCAGTCGCAGCCCTGGCTGACCCTCTTCAAAATGCTGCTTTTATCACGATTATTTTGCCCATCCCATGCAGTCTCTTTGGACATTCCCGCCATTATGCATTCCTCGAGAATTGGGACGAGTTTTCTTGTAACTCAAAATCATTTTTTCGGGACCGCAGAGTTGGATTCCGTTGGTTGAGTCAAATTTAAAAATCCAGTTGACTGCAATTGTATCATCAAAACATTTCGTGACTACTGTTCGCTTGTTATTTATAAAAAAAGTAGTTCGTATGGATGATTTGAATCTCCATATTCAATGTAGAGAACTTCAAACGCCAAAAGGTATGCAATCGTTCAAGAATGCGCGTGAAATACGTCTTCATAATGACGAGATGAAATTACAGATCATTTGGTGTCAAATCTGTCAGCTTATGTGTTAGAATTGTGCTCAGCAAGTTTATTAACCGGTTTTGGAAAACCTTTGTAAAAAACTTTGAAGAAATTGAATATTCCCAAATAAACTTGAAATTGTAAATAAATATGTTTCAAAGCGCCTAGCTAGAGTTTAACTGAATTGATGCATTTAATGCCTATTTTATAATATAATAATATAATATTTTTCCTTAATAATATATTATATTATTATTTTTATAATATAATATAGTAAAATATAATATAATATAATTTTGCAAGAAACTAATTTGAAATACTTTTGTTTTAATTTTGCGAATAAGCAGAGCAATAGGAATCCAGTTTGTATTGTAGGAGAATAAACTAAAGCATTTCGTTGTTCACTCCTTCCTGTTGACTTATCAAGCCAGCAGACGGTCGCACCCACTTGTGAAGTGCGGCAAAAAACCTTAGACAAACTCGAATCTTTTTCCAGCCCCAGAATAATTCTTGAGCCTTTCTTTATTTGCTTCACTGGCGCCGCTGTGCACAACTCTTCTCTTCATTTTTAAAACCGGACGTTTTAGGATCTTTTGGCAAATATATTCGCGTATAAACTGCACGAATCTCACATGTTAAAAAATTGCCTGCGATTTCGGAAACTCAATGCAATGTTACTATTCGTTACTCGCTGTATTTGGAGCCAGTTTGAATAATTTTCATCTGTCCGTGTTAAGACTAAAGCCATTTGGTTAATTTAAAACATTCCTTAATACTTTGTGATATAAGTTGTATCGTTTAAGAATGAATAAATTGATGTTTTGTAAAGAAATTATTGGATGAATTAATTGATGTTTTACTATAATTATTTCCATGCCACTGAAGCTGAGTAGGGGAAATTGTTAAGATGTCCACAAATTTACTTACACATTTTCAATCGGTGCTAATTCTTTCCATGACGAATCTATTCAACACGAATCAACTTGAAATAATTATTGAGCTACTCCAGAAATGTTAATTTTTGTGCAGGTTTACACAGGTCAGCAGGGCATCGAAAAAAATCTTGCGAATCTGCTGACGCTGAAGGACTCTCAGGTTCGTTACATCAAGAGCTACCACAAGACGATCCTCCTGCCTGCCATGGTCGCTCTCAACTCGCTCCTCTCAGACCACGCGACCTCCGTCACCTCTCTTGGTGTTGATATCATCACCAAGGTAACTCCATTAAGTCATTTCATCTATCTTTTTTTTTAAGATCGTTATTATTACCAACTTTTTAGGAAATTCGGTCCGAGGTGACTGAAAATGTGTCTCTGCTGCAGGCCGTCTGCAGCTGTAAATTGTCTCTGCGTTTCATTACTGGATTACAACAAGTCTGAGCATAAAAATTGTTTAACACAGTATCAAAAACTTCGATTAATTATTTAACTGGTCCATTTACATGCCCCTGCTCAGGTGGAGTTCCTCCAAGACTCATACGTGACACACGCCACGCGTCAGGCCGACGCTCTTCAGAAGCTGGGGCAGGAGTTGGAAATGGTGGCGCCTCAGCACGCCAACCTCCTCATGAGGGGCAGAGACCTGGCCAGAAGACTGCATGCAAACGCCGAGACCTTCGTCAGGGTGAGTGTTGGCGATTATGGCGGCCTAACCACCACCAAAGGGGAATTTAAAATTGAAATTCCAAAAAAGTGCGAAAGAAAAACGTAAAAACTCCGGTAAAAGAACCGTCAGGCCCCGAAACAAAAATGAACCAACAAAAAGAAACAATTAAGCGAAAAAAATCGTTTACAGTCCATGCCTCCCCGCAACAGAAAAACGAACGCAATGGTTTTAACAGGTGAACCCCGGAAAATTCCAAAACAAAAAGGGGTAAAAAAAATAATCCAAACGGCCAAAAGAAACCAAAATTTAAAAAAGGAACGCCGTGAACAACCCCCCTCAGCAAAATAAAAAAATAAGGTGAACAGTCGGCCCAACAAATCTTGCTGTTTTAATAATTGTACATAATAAGCACCAAAACAAGAGAAAACGACCAACTTGGCTTGAACAGAACGGCAAAATCCTACATCCACGAGACACGGGTTCGTAGAAATCGGCTGTAACATCTCTCTACTACTGATGTCGACGTCGGTATATAAAGTGGGGTCTTTATTTAACGGCTTTATTAATTGTGATTCTGTCCTGGTCATGACAGGAGATTCAGAGCCGCATGAACAACGTTGTGAAGGAACTTGTGGCTATCAGAGTTCAGAGTCAGAGTTTTGTGAACTTCAGTGATTCCACTTACGTCAATATTTCGGCAAGGTGAGACGTGAGTTTTTTTTTGTGTTTGTGAGCAACGTCTCAATAATGATGATGTTCGACCGATATTGAAGTATGCTTAAATCGCACCTCACGTTTATCTATATTTAAAATTAAAAGAGGAAAAGACGTAGAAATTTTTTGAAAATTGTACATAGATCTTGTATCTTGACTGCCTAAGCAATATTGCAAACAACTCTTGCTTCAGGTAAGCAGTCTGTTGTCTTTTAAACTATTTCAATGTTGTAATGATATCTAAAATTGGTAGTAGCTAGGTAATAGGTAGTAATAGGACTGTTTTTATTGAGGCCCCCGCGAATACAGGCATGGAATCTCAAACTTCTAAAATATAAATAATTCTGCATTAATTAACTCAAATTCGAGTAAAATCAATTTATGTTTTAATCTCAGACTTAACGAAATATTCAAAATAGCTTTAAATTTTTTATATAGCCCTTCACCGACATAATTTATCGTGCGTTGTGATAAATATGTTGCCAAATATTCAAATTCACTTCTATTGCAACTAGTTTTTCCTCTCTCAGCCTGAACGCCACGGAGGAGGTGGTGGACAAGCTGACGTCTCGTCTCCACGACAAAGTGAACGCGTCTAAGGCCCAGGAGGTCGCGTTCAAGCAGGAGTTCACTCACGAGACCGAACTGCTCAGCTCCAGGATGCAGGCCGGCGTGAGCTCGGTCAGTGCAAAAATTAGTTTAATTACTCAGATACGTGATTTCTCATACAAGTTAATGCGCTAATAACTAAAAGTATGATTAACTGAACCCATATTCAATTTATTATTATTCATGTTTAATTGAAGAACGATTGCGCATCGGACATTTTACATCCGTTGCCGAAGATAAAAAACGAACACCGATTTTGTTTGTGAGACTTTAACTAAATCATAGTAAGTTGAACATATCAGAAAACTAAATGGAGTAATTAATATCTACCTATTCCATTATCACAGGTTAGACCAAGTGTCAATCTAAATCAGACGGCATTGATTTAGAAGCATGATTTCATTGCCTCGATTTGAATTTTTCACTTCTAGAGTCTGTACCGAGAAATGGCATTTCATGGCAAACATCGTTGAAATGAAACCAGGCAGCCAAATCAGAAACTGAACGCTTGCTGACTTGATTTCATTATTTTGTTTCCCTTCCTGAACGCCTATAAGCGATGGATCACATCATCTATAAACATAGTTGATATGCTGTACAGCAAAAAATATAGTCAGCTACACGTTATGGAAACCTGGGCCTTCTTTCATGTTATTTCAGCAATGTTATCTGTACAGGCCCTCACGACCAACCATCTCGCTCTGAACCTCGTTGAGGAGACTGATGTGGAGGGCCTGAGGTTCGTGAACGATGCGTCAACCGCGTGGTCCGAGTACTACCTCAACCAGGAGGACGAACTCAGACTCGACGCGGACAGACTAGCGAACAACCTGCAGAGTTACACTCATCACACCCAGAACATCCTCACTGGCCTTAACAACGCCGCGCAGACGCATGAGCAGGTTAGTTCAACGTGATTGTGCCTACCTTGTGAACAATAATAAAAGTAAGGTGTTTTGCAGACCTTAGAAGAATGGAAATTACAAAGTTTTTCTTGATTATTTGATTCCCAGTACCAAAACAACGTCCAAACGTGATTGGAATTGTTTGCTACTAAAATCTGAGAATTATTAACGATTGAACCATGTAATGTTTATCGCATCAAAATCGCATTTGAATGACTTAAAGGTTCTGGAGGAGCAGCGCATGGACTTCTCGCGCTTCGTGCGCACGCGTCAGGAGGCGCTGGACTCGCAGTGCCACGCCATCTCTGACTGGAGCGTCCTCATGTCCTCGGAGCTGCGGCGGCGCGACGAAGACCTCCACAGGTTCCTCAGTGACAACCTCCACTTCTCGGCCAGTCAGTCTACTGTTCTAAAAATTTTATTATATATAGTACTAATATAAAATATTACAATTTCATGGTACCTTATGAGACTTCCATACATCAGATACAAAAGATATGTGCCATCCGGAGCAACGCATATTTTGAATCGAATAATATGGCCGTGCTGGTCTATCGACCATACTCGGTAGTTCCCTCAATAAAAAAATAATTCTGTGAATATTTTATCACATTATGTTATTGTAATAATATTCACCATAAATGAAAATAATTATAGAATTCATTTCTGAAATAGTTATAATAAACTCCCCATCCTTATTGGATTTATGAGTTAATTAAAAATTTACTTGTAGCGCCGATAGCCTCGTATCCGGAAGATGTGGACTCACTCCTTGTGTCCGGGAGACCGGAGCATTCGTTGCTCTATCATTCTGCACGCGGTCAGCTCCCAGAGCGGCTGCCCTCGTCTTCTCAATCTGCATACTCAAATTCAGCCGTCGACTCTCAAGAGGCTTTAAGTACATCTAATGGACGAGGAATACCAAATGCATCAGGCGCAAATAAGCCTGTGTCATCGCCTTCGTCTTCATCAAATGCCACTGGCAGCTCTTCTGTTGGCCCTGATTCAGTGTCTGCTGAAGGAGGCTCTTCTCTCAAAGAAGATGACGTGAGTATAACGCGGTATTCTTGCTTGGTTTTTAAACACGTTCGTTGATTCTTTTAAGCGGTCTGGTACTTTTATCTGTGAGTAGTTGCGAATTAATAAGTGTGCCTTGAAATCGAATTTTCATCGGTGTATTTCTTCATTGAGTGTTAATTTTTTATTGGCACGGCGTGGAACTTTGCTTTCATAATAACAATGCTACTGGATAGTGAAACTAACGAGGGATCTTGAGTTGCACGATCAATCGAAGGCTTTAGGCAGACGAGCCGTTGATGTGGCTCGCAATATTGAATGTTGACGCTTCTATTCATGGGATGATATTAATCACGGGTCACCGCCATGCTCTTCAAGCTTATCGCAGAAACCTGCTTAAATGTCAAATTTTGCGCTAGAACGCATTCTACTTTATTTTAATATATACGTTTAACGTTATCTAATAATAATTTCATTTCGGTATTGTACAGAAGACAAAAAGGTTTAGAAGAATTGTGGAGCGATACTAACGATTTTTAATTGAGGCCTTACTACTCGGAGACAATCCGGTCAACATTAGAGCTTTATTCGTGATAGAGTATGATGTTCTCATACTCTATCACGAATAAAGCTCTAATGTTGACTGAATTGTCACACGTACTTCATTCCTTTGATGTGTCTTAGGGGATGTGAGGATGTGTCATTCCTCTGACATTAGGGTTTTCCCGTGAAGCACGAACCTGCGTGACTCATTCGTGCCGGTCATGCATATATCCCTTTTTTCCTTCTTTTCGTCTTCCTTAAGTATTTTCTCTGCCAAAAAAAACTTTCGTACAAATTGAATCTGAATTTTTTTGCCCGAGTATTCAGGAAAAAAAAACATATTTTTTCATTTTCTTACAATCTTTTAGCGACTGAATTCCTTTTATTTTTCTTCTACTCTATGTCCTGCTAGATTGAGCTCAAATGATCCCCAAAGTTTATGTTTGCTTTGTGCTCGATATTGTCGAGGGAAGCTCATGCATGACTCAGTCTCGGAGGACTCATGCTGAGGGAGGGAATTCCAGAGGGAAGCCAGTCCCCTCTGTTCGCTTTGCTCATCGATTTTTTATAATGGATGATTCATTTAGAAGGATAAGTGACCGTAACTCGATTGCGGGCTGCCGAACGGACATGTTGGCATTCCTCTTGCCTTTTTTGAGATGCGGTGTAAATTTATTGGGTTCTATATGAACTGAAACTTTAAGACACTCTGAATAATTTTAATCCATTTAATTCGAACTTGACGTTATAAAACAGATCAACGTCCCAAGCACGTCACATTTAAGTTCTGCAGATAAGTTTGCACGAAATGCAACATCATTCAAACTTTTCAACTGATGTCAAACAATATTCTCGATTTTTAACTCAGTAGTGATTGCTTATTTAAATGATTGAGTTTATTAACAACTTTTAAGGAAGTCTTGTAGCCTTGAGGAATTATATTTACTATTCATCTATTGTTTTTTTGACTAATGCAGAAGCATGGTAGGTTTGATTTGTTGTTAATATTCACTACATTAAATTGACAGCGCACCTGCATGGATTATTGTTGTGTAGATGTTGCACTGCTAACATTGTCTTCCATAACATTTGTAGTCATGAGCGTTTTGATGACTCCAGTCGGCAAAGACAACATGACAACGATTAGACAAGAGTACTTCTGCCCGGCCACCATCGTTCCACCGCAACAAGTGTTTCTGTCTACGTCAGCAGCTACCATAACTACTGGATGTCAGTTAACTATTGCTGAAGTGGTCTATGACGTAGTGGCCTACAACTCCAAAGCAGAATAGCACGATATACAGAGCAGTGTTGCCTGCAGTGTCACGTCGTTTATTATTTCAGCCAACATTCCGGAGAACCACATGAACTTCAATCGATGCGTCAGCCAAAACTAATGAGGAGCAAAATCCTGTTGCCAATATTTCGGTATATGAGCCGCATAAGAAATAACCTGAAGTTCCTTTCTATTCGCAACAATGACTGACAACCCGTTTGCTTCTTATGCAAGTTTTCATCCTGTGTGGTGGCCACTGACCGACAAACTAACACTAGCCTGCTTGTGTGTTTATTGCCACATTAACAAGAGTTGCTTTCAAAGTTGAGCCCCTAACACCTGGGGTGGCCGTTGCTACTCGTCGTGGCCGCATGCTCTGGAAAGAACCACGGTTCACCTCGAGTCTGTTGCTGCAATGTTTCGAGTTGAAAATTCGAAGTAAGTTCGCTGTGACTAAATAAATTTTTCTCTCGTGACTTCATAAATACTAAGAATTTATTCCTTATTTACTGGTGGAAATTATCTCGTTCAAATTGGTTGTCACTTGTGCAAATTCTAATTCGGATACATCTAAATTTTTTTGACCAAACAGTAGAAATGCGAAAATATTCCTTGAAGAATATTTCAGGAGCACTGGAGCAGAGAGTGCTTTTCCAATAAATAAACTTGAACAACATCTTTTGTTTTTCCTATTTTACAGATAACAGTAGAGAAATCTGTTATTGAAAAGGAGCCTAATGGTGCTGCATCTCTAGAAGAAGTCGTTCCAGATGAGGGGCTTCCTATTACTCATGACGTCGACCGTGATCTGGTCACGGTGGACAACGGAGCACACCCGAGACACAGGTCTGGAGGCGGCCCGAACTCCTCGAACGCCCCACCGCCAGGCCAAGATAATGATAGAGCCAGTTCTGAGGAAGACAATCAGAACGCCTCAAGTGGAAATAATAGTGACGATAGTTCCGGAAGTGTCCTAAAACTTACTGAAAATAACAATAAAAACTATGTTAATCGAAGTGTAAGCGGAGTCATTGCTAACGGCGATGTTGAAGATATAATTTATGATGGGCGACTAGACTCCCATGGCAGCGACGATGACGGCATTTCAAACTCTATAGTAAAATATGGTTCAGAGGGTTCTGACAGAGAGATTGATCATTTCAACCGTAACGGTGATGGTGGATGGTCGAAAATGGATGATCAAACTGAGAAGATTGAAAGTGAAATATTTGGTTTCACAGAAATCAGTAGAGGCAACTTTGGTATAAATGCAGCAAATGAAGAGGAAACTACCGAGTCAGCTTTTAACCAAGTTGACTTCGATGCAGAGGATAGATTTGTTAATGGCAGGGGGAGCGGTTTGCTGCACATTTCACCGAAATTCCGTGATGCCCATCTCCAGGCAACAGAAGATGAAGCCGAAGAAAGAATGAGCGGCAGCGGAGATCGTGATAACAATTCTGCAAACAAATCTGAAACATTTAATCGAAACGAAACGTCTAAAAAATCCGGTCCTGGTGAATCATTGAAAAGTAATCAGAGTCTTGAAGTTCAATCTAATTTAACTTCGTTTGTTATTCAAGGCTTCAAGGATGGCGAAGATGACGATGACGAGGGTTATTTAAAGCTTCAGTCCATATTGCATGCTGCGGAAAGAAGCATTTTAGATTTTCAAAATGACATTCAAGTGTCAAATGTATACGCTGGTCTTCGGGAGATCGAGGGTGGAGGTGGTCGAACTTCATGGCTGAGGCCCAATGGGAAATTCGAGACAGGCTTTTGGGACGATTGGATTGTTCACCCTGGAAACAAATCAACCTTTATTCGGTGGCCGCACAATGGAAAGTATAGAAAAGCTCTCTGGACTCCGTCTAGTGATGATAAAAAACCTGTAATATTTAATTCTCCTCTCCCAACGAATGAGAAGGATAGAAATAGAGCTCGGCTTTCGGAAGTACGAAGGCGACGAAGTAGAAAGAGGAAACCCGAGATGCAAGTGAACGATAAGAATGGTGTAAATAATTTACCTGAAGAGTGAATTTGGGTCAAGATTTTGTTGTGGGTATGTGACAATAGCGATTAATTCTGTAACGCTGTATCATATTGTAAAGTCGACGTGGAAACATCGACAGAGAATCATTAAGAATTACTAATTTAGTCATATCTTGCTGGATTAATGGTGCTGTTATTTTTAAGGTGGGTACTGGCAGCCGATATTGTAGTAATTACAAGTATAGGCTGGAAATGCTGCTTCCGACGACGGTGTTATTTCCGCTAAATCGAACTGTTTTGTGCTAAGACATAACCTCAATGTGAGGGATAAGCAATATGAATGTTAGTTTTCCAATATTACTAATGAACCTTGAATACAAATTTATTTTGTAGACTAATTTTCGAACCAGATTTATTAGCACACATCCGCATGTTGCGGCGAGTCGATTATTGAATGGTCATTTTACTTTTTAAATTGTGAGAAATTTATTCGTAGACATTTCAGCCTATCATCAAACCAAGCATCCAAGAGACAAAAAAGCATGGTTCTAATTGTATTAATCATAACTGAAATACCATTAATCACTAGTAATCCTCATACAGATTAAGTTTTTGTGTACAAAGTACATGTTCGTCACAACGGCTCTCCAAGCAATTCTCAGTTGTTTTCGCGAGTGGTTCCTCAAAACTTAACGTAAGTGTACAGTTAATTTGTAGATGCTCAAAAAGTGAATGTGGTACGAAAGTAATCCTTCGATTAGCATATGTAACGCAATCTCACCCGAAGAGGCATTCATGTCTTCCAGGTTTTCAAACTTCATTTATAAATGACTCAAGATGTGATGAGTTCCTTGTTAGTGTTGTGATGCTCAACTAAGCGCTCCTGCTATATGTATTATTTTGAGGCTGCTAGTCTGCTTGATCTACCTCTTCTTTTGATGCATGTGACACCTTCAGCTTCATCAATTGTATGGAGTCTGAGCGGTATAAAGACGTGGAGCCTTCAGCCTTATGAATTGTATGGTGTGTAATTGAAGTAACACATGTGATGTAATAAGGCTCCCCAAATGTACGCAGTTTAAGCGATATGATGCATGTAATCAGGGAACAGCCTCCCCGATTTCATCGTTGGCGCTCCGAGTTTGAACGCGTTCAAGAACAGACTAGATAAAGCTATGGAAAATATATGTTCAGACTTGAAATGCCTAGCACCATATCAAAACAGGTGGAAGTCTAGTAGCTATTTCAAACTATCGTCAGTCTTGAAAAGATCCGGTCAAATGACACGATTTTAGATCTGTGAACAAGTCATGAAAATGTCAAGAATCGGCGACAGGCCACAGCAGGTGCCTACACTTCAGCACCGACATCACTATGTTATTTTAGGTCATGTTATGATATTTCTGTAAGCTCTTCAACTTCAACTGAGTGTGAACGCTGTCATTCTTGCAGCATCACATTCTGGTTACTGGGAAACTTTTATTACACGTAAGTGTGATACGGCAGGAAAAGAACTCAATTCTGTCTTTGCAGTACAAGTCTCGAGTGGCACGAATTATATTTGTTTCAGTCGCATTACATGATGAAATTCTAACGTCCATTGCTGTCACTGACCAATTTCTCATGTCCAACGGGGCATGGCCATATGGCATGGCTATGGCTCATTATGCAGTCACCAGAATTGATTTTTGAACTTTTAGTTATTCAGTATTGTTGTAACTTGTTTTACCTGTGATTGCACAATTGTCATTAAAGATGTCAATAAAAGCCGTTTTGAAGCTTTCTGTTCAAAATATCAAATTTCCGTTCTCTGTACTGCAAAGAATCGACTTTGTACACAAATTCTTAATTTTAATCGGCGTTCATCTGCGTATCACCAATACATTTTCTACTGTGAAACACAGCGCGCTTCAAATGAAAGTTTAAGACCCTGTTTGGTTTGATATCAACATTTGTTACAACCATCGGCCTCTATACAAACCAGCACATCTCTGCCCTTTCCAAAAGTTATCACGGGTTCCGGTCGTATCAAATTTTCATTCAAAAATTTTATCGTTAATAATGTATTTAATTACGCGTTATATATTATACGCTCGTCTCATATAAATCCAGTTAATGAAAAGCTTGGCCCGAAAATAATTTTAACTGAATAATATGTTGTGACATAACTTGTTACTTGCTTTAGCAAGTTGAAGAACCAGCTCAATATCAAATACTGCCATAAAAAATATAATTGCTAAGATTGTCCCTCACTTTCAAGGTATAAAATAAGTATAAGGGTAATCTTTTGCTTGTTATTTGTACTGTATTCTTTAGATTATATCAAATCAGCTATTTGTATTTGAGAACTGTTGTGAAATTTCTGATAGCAATGAAGTTGCCCGCTAATTTATGAGGAATAATAAAGAAATGTGATGAGGTAATGATCTCATTTTTTATCCTCTAAGTGAAGTTTTGCAAAAAGTTATTTGGAAAATTTCATTTAATAATTGATTGATAAAATAACTCGAGAATAAAATCAGAGTATGATCGTCTTTC